GTTTAGGATATTTTTTGCCATAATCTTGTATTGTCTGAAAAATAAAAATAAATATCATCATTTATATAATTAATTTTTGTGATTAAAATGTCATTGATTTACCTGTAATAGAAATTGTTTTTGTTCTTCATTTTTTGTTATTTTTTGATGAAATTCTTCAATAAGTTTAATCCCTCTTTCAGTAGCATCGTTTACAACATGTAATTTCTGAATTATTTCTTGACCTTTTTTATAATCAATTGAAGTATTCCAAGTGTCGGGATACGTTTTTAAAAAATCACCATCAATATCATCAGATGTTCTGTTAAATTAATTTTGTTGTATTTGATTAGAAATACGCAAGACTGGATATTTTTTTACTCAGTAATTTAAGTTAATTGAGTTCATGTTCAATCAAGTTAACAATTAAGTTAATGCATATAAGAATTACATCAGTTAAGTTAAAAATTAAGTTAAAAAATAACGTTAACTTAACTTTAATTAATAAGTCAAGTTGAAGAACAAAAACAATTTCTATTACAGGTAAATCAATGATATTTTAATTACAAAAAAAAAAAATATATTTAAATTAAGCGCTGATATAAGTGATTTATATATATTAACAATTTACAGCAGATCTTATTTAACATTAACGGTAATGAAAATGCAGAAAAATCTTATTAGACTCGAATTAGAGTAGAAAAATATACATTTATTTATTGGGATTGTTTTTAAGCGCTCGTATGTCAAATTTATGGTAATTTATGTATCGTTTGTTTTAATTAATTTTTCATACAAATCACATTTGATAAATATAATTTCAAAAAAGTATTCTTTTGAATGTTCAATAACAATATGAAAACTAAAAATAATTACTGCAGCTGAACGTGTAACTATAAAATTATATAGGGAATAAATGTATACAGTGGATACCAAACATTAAAATAAAATATATAATAGGTATTATTTAACTTCATCAAAATCTAAACAAATAAAACAAAACAATGGACAAGATCATCAAAATACCTATTGAATCTCAATAAAAGAGCCATCTTAAAATGTTGATCAGCTATTGAATTTCTTCTCTTATTCAATAATGTTTCATAATATCAATCTCATTTATTATCATAGAATATGGAATAATTCAAATAATAATAGAGAAAAATTATTATTAGAATTATTTAGTCAATGATAATATGTACCTATAATAATTTAATGTATAATATACATACGTACGGCCATTTTTCATGATAATGGTAATGTAATTCATGAATGGCATGGCTATTTTTATCCAATAGTCTTAAGACGATCGAATACTTTTCCCGAGACCGATGGCATCCCTATTAATAATAGATAATACCGTGATAAGTATTATAGTCTTATCGAAAATTTCTTCAAAATTTTATTTTCATATTTTTATAAATTCCATGAACTTGTTATCGAATACGATATTTTACAAAACTATTTTTCTGGTCTTGATAATCAAAATTAACTTAAATTTGGATAAATGAAAAAATATTAAGTTAATTTCAAGTAATCTGTAAGAAAATGAATTAAGTTAATAAGTTAATTTAATTTATCAGTAATGAAATAAGTTAAGTTATTAAGTAAAATTAACTTAACTTTTAAATTATTAACTTGTTAATGCCCAGGCTTGGAAATACGTATATTTTGTTGAATAATATTTAGAACATGCAGTTTTGAAACGTAAAGAATACAAATAACAAGTAATAACAGCCTTAAGGCTGTTGGAGCATACCATATTTTAAAGAGTAATATTTAGGCAATTTATATGACAGTACATTTGGACTGTGTCGTTGTGTGAGTAGTAAATAGACATTAGTGTGTGTACTCCGTTATCACGTTGTTGCGCCCATCGATTACGAATTCTCGGAACTACGATAGTAATCAAAATGTACATTGAACAATATATAATCATTTATCAATACCTACACATGTAATGATATTTCAAATATTTCTAGTTGAACACTTAAAAACTAAAGCACAATAATTAATAATTCTTGAGTAATTTATTTAATTTAAATAATAAAAT